TGTGTGTTGCCTGGACCTTGCATTTCCAACTGAAATGTACTCTGTTCTGTCAGTGAGGTATGATTTAAAGCAGTTAAGAGTAGTGTCAGTGAGTCATGTGGTTTGGTGTAGCCGGTTGAGAAGTATGCCATGATCCACAGTGTCAAAAGCAGCAGACAGATCGAGGAGCATGAGGAGGGAAGGTGAGCCAACATCAGCTGCCATTTGTAGGTTGTTTGTGACTCTAACCAAGGGTGTTTCTGTGAGCAGAGCGGAAACCAGACTGACTTTTTTCAGAAATGTTGTTATGTTTGAGGTGGTCATGGAGATGGGTGGCAACAACTTTTTCCAGTACTTTGGAGAGGAATGGGAGATTGGAGATGGACCTGTAATTTGCAAATGCATCTGGATCAAGGGTGTTTTTTTTGAGAATTGGTCTGATTATGGCAGTTTTAAGGGAAGTTGGAACACCAGACTGGAAGGCATGGTTTATAACAGTGGCAATCAGAGGGCTTAGGGCAGAAGTGTTTGCTTTCACTGGAGCTATAGGAAAAGGGTCAAGGGCACAGGTGGTAGGTTTCATCTTTTTAAACATCTTTTCAACCTCTTGCTGTGAGATATCTGGAAAGAAGTGTAGGTTTCTAATGACGTTTGAGTAGAACTGTGACTGTGCCTCTGTAAGTTCTTTTGGTGTTCCCGAAAAGCTTGCTTGTGCACAGTGAGAGCTGTGGCTTTGTATCACCACTCGATTGCATGCCCAGCTGCTATATTCAAGAAGTTCTTTGAAAGACTGGTGTTGGCCCACCTGAAGGACATTACAGGCCCCTTGCTGGATCCCCTGCAGTTTGCCTACAGGGCTAACAGGTCAGTGGATGATGCACTTGGGACTGCATAACATCCTGCAACACCTTGACTCTCCAGGGACATATGCAAGGATCCTGTTCGTGGACTTCAGTTTGGCGTTCAACACCATCATCCCGGACATCCTCAGCACCAAACTCACCCAGCTCACTGTACCAGACTCCACCTGTCAGTGGATCACAGACTTCCTGACTGACAGGAGGCTTTGGAACATCACATCCAGCACACGGACTATTAAAACTGGCGCCCCCCAGGGGTGTGTGCTCTCCCCCCTGTTCTTCTCCCTCTACACCAATGACTGCACCTCAGGAGACCCATCTGTCAAACTCCCGAAGTTCGCTGACGACATAACGGTCATCGGCCTCATCCGGGATGGTGAGTCGGCCTATAGACGGGAGGTTGATCAGCTGGCTTTCTGGTGCGGTCAGAACAACCTGGAGCTTAACACACTGAAAACTGTGGAGATGACCATGGACTTCAGGAGGAGCCCCCCCCACTCTGCCCCCCATCACCATACTCATCAGCCCTGTGTCTGCTGTGGAATCCTTCAGGGTTCCACTATATCCCAGGACCTGAAGTGGGAGCCCAACACTGATACCATCATCAAGAAGGCCCAGCAGAGGATGTACTTCCTGCGTCAGCTCAGGAAGCTCAACCTGCCTAAGGAGCTGCTGATCCAGTTCTACACAGCCATCATCCAGTCTGTCCTCTGCACCTCCATCACTGTCTGGATTGGATCTGCCACCAAAAAGGGCAGGGACAGACTTCAACGGACAGTCAGGACTGCAGAAAAGATCAACGGCGTCAACCTGCCCTCCATTCAGGACTTATACATTTCCAGAGTCATGAAATGGGCAGGAAACATCACCGCAGATCCCTCTCACCCCGGACACAAGCTGATCCAGCTTCTCCCCTCTGGTAGGTGCTACAGCGCACTGTTCGCCAAAACCAACAGACTCAAAAAAAAGTTTCTTCCCACAAGCCTTCACTCAGCTGATTTATGACTTACAGTGTCAGGAACCATTCCTGTGCAAAAACCCAGTAACTGTCTCTAACCCTAACACTCAGCCACCTGTTTACAGGTTACTACTAATCATTTATTCTCATTCATATGGTTATATGGTATATACTGTTTTCTTTGCACTCATCGCATCGCGTGTACATGTATGTTTGTATGTGTACCTGTATATCACGTCCACCTGCGACATGTACATACTAACAAAAATGGTAATAATTTACACTTGCATCCTTCGTACTCTGCTCATTGCACTATTCTATTCACTAGTCTTATTTGAAACTGCTGGCTAAGAATAAACGTAAATACAGTAAGATTGTTATTCACGTCGGCAGTAATGACTCCCGGTTACGCAAATCGGAGGTCACTAAGATTAATGTTGAGTCGGTGTGTACATATGCAAAAACAATGTCAGACACCGTAGTTTTCTCTGGACCCCTGCCAAATCTGACCAGTGATGACATGTATAGCCGCATGTCGTCATTCCGCCGCTGGTTGTCGAGGTGGTGTCCAGCAAACGATGTGGGCTTTGTTGATCATTGGCAGACTTTCTGGGGAAGACCTGGTCTGATCCGGAGAGACGGCATCCATCCCACTTGGGAAGGAGCAGCTCTCATTTCTAGAAATCTGGCCAAGTTTATTAGTGGACCAAATCCATGACAACCCAGAGTTGAGACCAGGAGGCAGAGTCGCAGTCTAACACACTTCTCTGCCCTTCTTTTTCAGCAGTTACCCACCCAAAACCCTACACAGAGTCGCAGTCTAACACACTTCTCTGCTCCTCCATTTCAGGAGTTACTTAGTGAAAATCCTATAGTGACGGTGTCTGCCCCCCGACCATCGAAATTATTTAAAAAGGTAAACAGAAGAGGAGCTGTGCATAAAAACCTCATAAAAATTAAAACCACAAGAGCAATAGTGCAAACGAATAGGAGAGTTAAATGTGGACTCTTGAACATCAGATCTCTCTCTTCTAAAGGTGTACTAGTAAATGAACTAATATCAGATTATGATATCGATTTATTATTTACAATCTGGCTGGGTGATGGAGAATATGTTAGCCTAAATGAATCCACCCCTCCCAGTCATATTAATACTCACTTTCCTCGAAACCCTTGTTCTTGGTCTTTCGCACCCAAGTTGGAAATCACTGCAACCAATTCTCTTCGTTATAGTGTACCGAGCACCTGGCCCGTACTCTGAATTCTTATCTGAATTTGCAGAGTTTTTGTCAACTTTAGTCCTTAAAACTTGAGAGGAATTGGCATTCCACCAAAGTGGAAAATTCTCGTTTAATTTGGCAAGATAGTCTTAAAACTTATAGGAAGGCCCTCCGTAATGCCAGAGCAGCGTACTACTCGTCATTAATAGAGGAAAATAGGAACAACCCCAGGTTTCTTTTCAGCACTGTAGCCAGGCTGACAGAGAGTCACAGCTCTATTGAGCCAAGTATTCCCATAGCTCTCAGTAGTTACGACTTCATGAGCTTCTTTAATGATAAAATTCTAGCTATCAGAGACAAAATTCACCAAGACCTGCCCTCAACTGGCACCGACTTATCTCTAAACTCAGGAACCTTAGAAACAGCTGTAAAACCAGATATATGTTTAGACTGTTTTGCTTCCATCAATCTTTACCAACTAACTTAAATAATTTCTTCATCTAAACCATCAACCTGCCTCTTAGACCCCATCCCGACTAGGCTGCTTAAAGATGTTCTACCCTTAGTCAGCACTTCTATACTAGATATGATCAATCTATCTTTATCAACAGGCTATGTACCACAGTACTTTAAAGTAGCTGTAATTAAACCTCTTCTGAAAAAGCCCAAACTTGATCCGGATGTTTTAGCCAACTATAGACCTATATCTAACCTTCCATTTCTCTCTAAGGTTCTTGAGAAAGCAGTTGCTAAACAGCTGTGTGACTTTCTACAGAGCAATAGTTTATTTGAGGATTTTCAGTCAGGATTTAGAGCTCATCATAGCACAGAGACAGCTCTGGTGAAAATTACTAAGGACCTCCTTATTGCATCAGACAAAGGACTTGTCTGCTCTGCTTCAGCTTACCTGAGACAGTGAGAGACAGCCGACGGCTCTCAGAGGAGAAGTCTTGAGAAAAAACATGGACGTGATAAACACAGCTGTAGCTTCCTTGGTGGGCGGGCTCTGCGACAGGAAACAGGAAGTGGGCAGAGTGATTGACAGCTGGCTGGGGGTAGTTGGTTGATATGATGGAGGAGGTGAAGGCGAGCTGGAAGGAGCCTCCTGGGTACTGTGGCTGGATGGAGCAGCTGATGTTTAAGGTGGAGCCCCTGGACACCTGAAAGCCCTGCTGCTGGGCCTCGGAGACCCCGTCCACGGAGGAGGACACAGAGATGTTGGGCTGAAGCAGCAGGTCTGTAAACACAGATGATGAAAGGTCACATCAACAAAATGGCCCCTGAAGAAGGAAGTGATGTCACAGGTCTGACACGGGTAACAAACATGGAGCAGAGCGATGACAGACTGTAAAAGGAGGGACTGGATCCACCTGGTGGGACGTCCCCAAACACAGAGACAGACAGACAGACAGGTTCCTCCAGGTGTGTCCTGTCAGGTGAAGCTTCTAGAAACAAGCCCACCTCTCTACACTTTAGGACGTCACTGTCCTGGAGAACTTTACAGTTCAGTCCAATGGAAACCACTGAGACACTGAGACAGAGGAGAGGACACACTGGGGACATTACTGTCATACATGATGTCATAGAGGATGTCACTGATGGGCTTACCTGAGCAGGTGAGATCCAGGATGGAGGCAAGGGAAGTTAATCTTACACACTCCCTCAGAGAAGATCTAGACTGAACACAGCCAGACCTGATCCACCACTGAGGTCTGTCTGAGGACTCATTTCTCTCTCCTACAGAAACAACAGAGCCACAGTCCAGCTGTCTACAGACAACAGCTGCTTCCTTCAGGCTCCAGCCATAGACACTCATTGGTCTCCAGTCTCCCTGTTTCAGCTCCAGTGTTCCTGAACAGCGACTGGCTCCTCCCACCAACCTGACAGGCTCTGAACAGAAACCAGAGAGTCATCAGTAAAACAATAAAGTGATTTTCATCAGAACAGAAATGAACCAAATCAAAGCTGCAGCTCCTCTTCTACCTGAGCAGGTGAGTCCAACAGCTTTTCCAGGTGAGCAGGTGTTTCTAGCTGAGCCTGAGCTTCTACAGTCCAGGAGAGCAGACTCATGGCCTCCACACTGGAACTCTTTGGTCCACATCGGAGCCTCCACTTCTCCATAGAGCGCCCCCTGGAGGACTGAAGGAGCCCCACAGCCGAGCTCCCTACAGACCACCTCTGCATCCTGCTGGTCAAAGTCAGCTTCACACACTGAGGACCACCTCTGGTTAGACTGGTTAGACTGGTTAGACTTCACCTCCAGTCTCCCTGAGCACAGACTAGTCCCGTCCAGCAGCCTGACAGAGTCTGGAGAGATAATAGAAGATGAAATAGAGATAAAGACAGCAGACACAAAAGAAAAACATGTCATGAAACAACAATTCAGTGATTCAAGGTGGACTCAGCACAACTCCAACATCAGTTCATCATTAACAACAGAACACATCTTTCTACCAGCACACATGTAGGGTTCCTACTCTTTTCTAGAGAAGGTTTTTCCAGGACATTTTCCCTCATGCTTGAGCTGGTATGACAGACTGGGATCACGTCATACACTAAAATGTTCTTCTATGTAAAAGTGCAGTCTGTGGCTATAACTTATATAACTCTCTGAAATCATCAATTACATGCGTAGAAATTATTACACATTTATCTTGCCTGGTTTATATTGGTTGTAGTGAAACTGGTACTGGTTATATTGAAATGATCTCAGTCCAATACAATAAAGAAGGGATGTTGAATCTGTCTGAGTGGATAAGGAATTCTACAAGGAACTAAAAATTGCTTCAAGTATGGAGGACAGTTAAAGTAAACCCATTTGAAAATAAACTTTATCCAGTGAAATTCCTTTCTTGCTTTAGGCTGTAACCAGTTAAGTGACTCATACATAGTGACTCATTAAGTTAATGCATATGGAAAGTACTAAGACGATAACGCCTTGTTACGAACAAGATATTACAAGACTTCTTTTTATTTGGAACCAATTTATTCATGTGAAGCCAGTCTTGTATCATACTGAAATCTGCTTGTAAGGAATTCTGTCCAAGTTGTAGATAACTGTATCATGAGCATACAGATGCACTGAGCAATTTTTGTTTTACAGATTTTTGATAAATCATTGATGAATATAGAAAAAAGAAGGGGTCCCAAAGTGGATCCTTGGGGGACTATATCAAGCAGTAAATAATCTGACTGGGAACCATGAAAACAACACACTGATGCCTCCCGTGAAGATAAGCATTAAACCAAAGTAGAACATTTTGAATGCAAACCAATGGAATAAAGCTTATCAAGCAGCAGGTAGTGATCAACCATATCGAAGGCCTTGGAAAGGTCAAGAAATAGCACCACCTGGCCTTTGTCAAATGCTGAGAACACATCATTAGTGAACTTTAAAAGAGCTGTGGTGGTTGAAAAATGAATGAAGCCAGACTGATTAGAGGATAAGATATTGTACTGATTCAGATATTGTGATAATTGATTGAAAATTCATTTCTCAAAAATTTTGGCAACAGATAATTATAGAACAGAAATTGGTCTGTAGTTGTTCACATCAGATGGGTCTCCACCTTTGAGCAGAGGAGTAACTTGTGCACAATTCCAAGTTGAGGGAACAGTACAAGTAGAAAAGGACAGGTTGACTAAGTCAGCAAGTGGGTACATTAGCACATGAGCAGCAAGCTTAATAAATCTTACTTTCAGGCCATCAGGACCAGCACTGCTACTTTCTTTTTTTCCCCTCAAAAATGACATGAGAAACATCGACAGGCATGATTGACCTGAAACTGAATGCACCAGTACAGCAGATCATGTTGGAAGGACTAGCTATATCACAATTTAAATTTACAATTTTAGATCTACTAATCGAAGAAAAATGCTGATTGAAAGCACTAGCAATGGGTAAAGAAACCAATATAATGGCATTATCAATTTGTATTTGATTCCCCAAATTTTATTGTTTTTATTGAGTACACGGTTGAAATGATTTTGACCCAGGTCAAACACAAGCAGCCTCAGCCAGTACGAGCACATGACACAATGACCCAGCAGATTGGCCCCCAGTCTTAACAGACTTCATGGAGGTCTGAGTTAGTGCACAGAGGTCTGTTCAAACAGACACTGGACTTTTCTAGAAAAGAGGGAGGATTGTAGTGAGAGCATTGTGGTGTCAGGTGTGACTGTGCAGCACCTGTCCACTGCAAAGACACTATCCACAGCCTGGAGGAGGAAATTGTATAATTGAGTGTTTATTTATAACGTTAATATAATGGTAAACTTTTCTGCTCCATCCTGTCTGTGAATGGTCAGTTCAGAAAAAGTGACACTGACGAGCACATTAGTTTTATGAAAAGTTGAACGTTTTCAAATAGCCCGCTACCCAAACCCAAACACTGTTTATCCCTACGGTCTTCTGTTTTACCGTGGTAACAGAGCGACAGGCCCAATGTCAACAATTAGTATAGGGATGTCACGCAAGACTGCGGTAGGTTGTACTCAATCATTTTTCCTGTTTGAACAGATCTATTTTTAGGGGCGTATGCGAGTGAAATACTCGCATGGTAGATCACAGAGCCTTACGTTACAGAGAAGAATCCCACATTCATTGCCAGTTAAGTATCCTTGGCTTTACAATATAAATAAATACATAAATTGACCCGCACTTTTAGCATAAAACCTCTTTTTTCTTATCTGTAAGGCACTAAATAATCTTGCTGCGCAGTATTTAAGTGAACTGCTCGTTCAAAACAAAAAACACGATGAATCGTGCTTTTGCTTTCCTGGATCCCAGGCTGTGGAACAGTCTCCCCGTGGGAGTCAGGGCAGCAAACTCTGTAGATGTTTAAAGTAACAGTGAAAAACTTATTTTTCTGTAGAGTTATCTCGCTTACTAATATTTGGTCTATGATGCCTTGGAATTTATTTACAATGAGATTGTCTGCTCTTTTAATGCTTCTTTAACCTCTGTAAGTGTTATTCTGAACTGTTTTTGTGCTACCTCCATCCCTGTAAAGCACTCTGTAACCCTAGTTTTAAAGGGTGCTACAATGGACTCCAGAAGTATTTATACCCCTTGAATTTTTTTACGTTACAACCACAAAAAATTTATTTTGCTTCTGAAGATGGCGCTGTGTATACCTGCCTTGGCGTACTCCGTTTTGTTTTTGTGTGTTAACTCAGTTTTCAGCTGTAATACCCTGAGCTCTTTCACCAGAGAAGAGCTCATGAACAACTCCAACTTATTTCCCACTTTTCTCGCATCATCGGTGGAATTAATGGACATTTTGGTGAAGGGTATGTTCGCTGTTGTTCACGCTGTGAAGCACCGTCAGAGAGTTAAACGAGCCGGTCGCTCGTGCACACACCACTAACGGCAAGATTTCTCTCCAACGTGCGCTCACTGTGCAACAAACTCGATGAACTTCAGCTTCAGGTGGGGGAAAAAAAATAGACTGTTATTTGTCTTCACAGTATTTGTGTGAACTGTTATTGGACTCCGCCCTGCAGCTGGCTGGGTTCCAAATGTATAAGGCGCACCGCAACACTGAGCTCTCCGGCAAAACGAAAGAGGTATCTGGAGGTATGTGTTTTTATATTAACAATAGCTGGTGTACTGACGTGACAGTGATTCAGCAGCACTGTTCTCCTGATCTGGAATATTTTATCATTAACTGTCAACCATTTTTCTCTCCAAGTGAGTTTTCTTCATTCACTCAAAAGCCTGTAGGCAGGAATCAGGATATAGGAGTGGGGACACGGCTGGGTGCAGGGCGTTAAAGTACAGGTTTAGCAAGGAGGTGTGAGAAGCTAAAAAACTGTACTCAGAGTGGACAGAAGAGTGGGCAAGTATTGCCACGTCAAGATGTGCCATGCTAATAGACTCCTACCCAAAAAGACTGACTGCTGTAGTAAAATCAAAAGGTGCTTCAACAAAGTATTAGTCTAAGGGTGTGTGCACACAAATGCATCCAGGTTATTGTAAGGTTTTTATTTTTCATTTTTCCCCCTCGAAGATTTGAGTTTGTTTTTTAATTGAATTGTTCACATTATAGGTGGAAAGAGTTCTGACATGATTTATCTTTGTCTCATTATTTTGCATCATAAGAACCTGGCATTTTAACAGGGGTGTGGAGACTTTTTCTATCCACTATATTTCTTCATTTATTTATGTCAGCAGTATGTTTGTCTGCATGTAGCACCTTATCACAGAGGCAAATTCCTCGTATTTGTGTGTGTCAACTGGGTACGGTCATAGATGATGTCATAGAGGATGTCACTGATGGGCTTACCTGAGCAGGTGAGATACAGGATGGACGAATACAAAGATGATGATGCACACTCCCTCAGAGCAGATCCAGACTGAACACAGTCTGACCTGATCCACCACTGAGGTCTGCGTGAGGACTCCTCTCTCTCTCCTACAGAAACAGCAGAGCCACAGTCCAGTTGTCTACAGACAACAGCTGCTTCCTTCAGGGTCCAGTCAATGTAACTCACTGGTCTCCAGTCTCCCTGATGTTTCAGCTCCAGTGTTCCTGCACAGCGACTGGCTCCTCCCACCAACCTGACAGGCTCTGAACAGAAACCAGAGAGTCATCAGTAAAACAATAAAGTGAGTTTCATCAGAAGAGAAATGAACCAAATCAAAGCTGCAGCTCATCTTCTACCTGAGCAGGTGAGTCCAACAGCTTTTCCAGGTGAGCAGGTGTTTCTAGCTGAGCCTGAGCTTCTACAGTCCAGGAGAGCAGACTCATGGCCTCCACACTGGAACTCTTTGGTCCACATCGGAGCCTCCACTTCTCCATAGAGCGCCCCCTGGAGGACTGAAGGAGCCCCACAGCCGAGCTCCCTACAGACCACCTCTGCATCCTGCTGGTCAAAGTCAGCTTCACACACTGAGGACCACCTCTGGTTAGACTGGTTAGACTGGTTAGACTTCACCTCCAGTCTGCCTGAGCACAGACTAGTCCCGTTCACCAGCCTGACAGAGTCTGGAGAGATAATAGAAGATGAAATAGAGATAAAGACACCAGACACAAAAGAAAAACATGTCATGAAACAACAATTCAGTGTGGAAATGCAGTCAAATGTGTGTAAATAATACAGCATGGGACTCAGAACACAACCCTGTGGGGCCCCAGTGCTGAGAGTCAGACCGGGGGACAGATGTGACTTTCTGGCAGTATGTGGTTATGTTTCTAAGAAGTTTTAGAAAGTCTTTAGTCATTTGAAAATGCAACACTTAAAATATAAAAGCAGTGGTTCTCAACCCCCCCCCCAAACTCCCCCAACATGTCTAAGGAAATATTCCAGGAGACTCTTTTGACCTCAGAAAAGCATTGGCTATATCTTTTTGTTTTGTAAATTAAACATTCTGTAAGTAAAGTTTTCAATAATTTACATTGGCTGACATAACTTTTTTTTTTTTAAAGCAAGCCCATGCCTTACTGTTAAGCACTGCACTCAAGTATTAAGTAGCCTTCTAATTTCCAATGCAGCCTTTGAATAATTCCAACATCCCCAGAATAAAAATATAAATTCAACATGAAAAGCATTCTCAATATCCTCAGATTCAGAGTGAAATTTCTTAAAAAAACAGAAGGCATATAGTCCTACAGGACACACAAATTGTATTAGTGTAGGCTCATAAATCAAATCCACCCTTATAATGATTTTCAGATAATTATCCCGTAGCTTATTAATAACCTCTCTCTTTATCGCACCATTGTAATAAATAAAATTTTCATGTAGTGCCAATTCATAACAGTGAACATTGCACTTTTCATATAAAGCAGGTCTACACTCTAGCCTAATCTTTGTAATGGTATTTACAGAGACCACCATGAGGGCTTGCAATTAAAATGTGTTTTTGACCCAGAACAACATTTGACCAGAGCACGCAGAGCAGGCACTACATAAAAAGAGAGCACTTAAGTTAGCCCGGCAGCAACCCTGCACGCTGGCAGTGCGCGAGAGTGGTCATCTGGAAACAGAACTGTGACATCAGGCCGTTGGTCTTGTCGGATTTGTTAACCAAAACCAGGACGAACCAGCTTCAGAGTGAAAACAAGTAGACATTTTTCAGGTGAGTGTCTTAGTGCCAGCTGCCACAGAAATAAGCTATTAACGTTGAGTTACTTGCCTGTCAAATTGTTTTTTGTATTTTCAAACGTTGTGCCGTGTTTTGTAATGTTGATGCTAACGTTGGAGATACGCTAATGTTCAAGAAGGATAATTTAATATTCTGTAGATACTATTAGGCATATTTGTTGCTGCACAAACACTTAAATTAAGTGCAACATTAAGTTAAAGTTAGTGTAACGGGGGTTATTCAGTTCTGTATTAATCTCTTTTAATCTGTTTTATATCGCTGATAGTGGCAGCAGCAGATGGTGGAGGGCTAGCGGCTGATAACGGCTACTGTTGGCTAGTTGACTCTAAGAAGAGATGTTTGACATGTTCCTGTGATAACCGGGCTTTAAAGTTGCCTGTGTAATAGTATTAAATATGAACATGAACTTATGAAAGTAACTACTATTAAATACAGGTAAATTTACTGACAAAATAATATATTATATTACAAGATTTTGCTATGAGACATAGTGAGTTAACAATTTAAAGCTCAAATTATGTACTAATGTGGTTAACATGCAAGAGGCATATGTTACGTAGCTAGTGTAACCTTATGTAACAATTCTGTAAAGTTAGGTTAAATGTTGCCTGAATTTATATATTTATCATTATTTATTAATGTAACACCCCCTTATATCTTATCGTGAATTTGTGAACTTATATATATTTATTAATAATAATATATTATATTAAATTGATAACAATTTAACATCACTGCTAGTGTAGCCATTGTTCTTTTATCTGGTATTTAGATTATGTTTATTATAAGTTAGCAGAAATGATTCATTTGTGTTTCTAATGTTTGTCATCACTAGGCTGCAGATTGGGCTATCGGCTAAAATGTATCCTAGTTTTGGAATTTCATTTCTCTCTCTCTCTGTCCAACCACAGATGTGTTTCAGACTGGCCAAAAGGGTAAGTACAGGTAGTGTGCTGATTGCCTCCTTATTTAATTGTATGAGTTTTACCTATATTTGATACATGTCTTTTCTACTTTTTTCATCTCCTTTCTGAGAGACCACACAAATGTTGATGTGGACCAACAAATTGTCACAAAGCTCTCTGGAATGGCAACGAGACCCCTTGAGGAGACGTTAAAGCGTGTGATTGATGAAAAGTTAAATCACTGCACTGCTTAGATTTTCAGTGTACCACTGAGTTGACTGATAGACACCCTACTTATCTGCCTGACATCATACCCGTCTGACCGATTACCTACCTTCCAAAATGTTGCCGTTTCACACACACAGTAAGAAATATAAACTTTTTAAAAGGTATTAAGTAAAAGCGTCCAACATATAATGTTAACTTCATACTTAATTTGTATTAAGGCCCACAGTTGGAAGCAACTGCTCTTGCCGGCACTGTTCAAGGAGGACCTGGGGTTGCTGTTCAGGTGAGCCATGAACAGTTGACTACAATGCAGAGGTGTGGAATAGAGTCACAAGACAAATATGACTTTAGACTCAACTTGCAAGTCAAAACAGACTTGCAGTTTAACTTAGACTTGAACACCAATGACTCGTGACTTCTCTCGGACTTGAGCTTTTTGACTCAGATTGACTTGATACCCACACCAAGTCCAAATTATGATATATTAAAAAGTCTGTGTGCAGCGCATCAACATAAGGCTGTGCAATTTATTGAATTCTAATATCAATGACAATTTTGGCTGTTTCATAATGACACTTTGAAACGGTTTTGTCTTATAAATCCAGCGCACCCCTTTCCTTTACAGGGGTGGCTCCTGCCCCTCCATAAAAGCCCAGACTCCCTCTCAGCCAGGCTGTTGCAAGTAAACTTAGATAACAGGGGTTAGAACTGCTATAACTTGCTATTCACCATTATTATCTTAAGCCTACGGCATTTTTCACTGCCCTGTACAGCATAAGCGGTATAGTTAATGGATGGATGGATGGATATTAGTTTTATACTTAACCAGGTGTGTTTGGTGTTGCTTTACCTGGGTCGGTTCTTCTAAAATATCCACTGTATAATAACATACTGCAACTATTGTTAATTAAAAATAAGAAATGGTATTAAATTTGCTGAAGAACACATCATGACTTGAAACTCAACATTTAGGACTTGTCTTTCTTGACTCTGACTTTCCTGTCTCGGTCTTGACTTGAGACTTGAGTTGTGACTTACTTGTGACTTGTAAAACAAGACTTTTTCCCACCTCTGCCTCTGTGTGTGAAGCACAATCTAATCAAAACACCACACTTCTTGCACATTTTTTTTTGCTATACAATGATTTCAAAGCAGACATTAGTTTTTTATTTGTAGGTCTAAACAAACAATTCTAAGAGAAGTATTTGAGCAGTTGTATGACAGTAGTTAAAATAATTTGTTAGCTCATACAGGATTGCCTTCAAATAAATGTGAGATAAGATGGTTGATGCTCAGACCAGCACTCCTGGCATCTCAACACCTAAGATGGTGTGTAAAGGCTTCAGAGAAGGTCATCCTATGCACTGTGACCACATTGTGCTCACATTGAATGGCCAGTTAATCAGAGAAGAGAGCGAGGACATCTCGATGGCACTGGGCCTCCTCCTGTGCCTGTATATAGTTTCTATTGTTTTTTGAAATCCTGAAGGACTTGACAAACATTTTATTGTGCTGTTGACAGTGAACGATACTGCAGGACTACAACTGTATTAGCCAGTTCCAGTAATGTCACTAATTTACTAAGTTAATGTTAAGACTATAGATTTTCTAAATATAGTGAAGAACTAATGAAGGCTAATAAGCCAAAAAGAGACTTGCTTACGGGGCTACGAATATTTGTTTTTACTTATTTTATAATGTACACATTATAGCTTGTTGTCTATAAAAGGGGAGTATATTGTGATGTTGTAATATAAAACATCACAATATACTCCGCTTTATGTTTGTATTTATTTATCTATTTGTTTTTTCCCCTGACTTGTCAGCTCTGAATTGAAAGAACTTGCTGTTGAAATAATACATTAAAAGGTTTTAAAGGGTAATTCTGTTTCTCAGTAAGCATTTAGAACAGGATTTTGAATTTTTTGAACCATGATTTGGTAACAAATGTTTATCATAACACTTAGTAGTAATGAAGTTGTCATTTAGAAGCATATTGATGTGGCATGACATAAGAGCCTCACTAGAAAACTATTTATAGCACCTAATGGTTCTATAGCCCCCATTTGACAGATTTGGTATAAAGCTCCTTTAAATATAGGTGCTATATAGCGCCAAAAAAAAAAAAAAAATAATAATAATCCTTATTTGTAGAGCACTTTTCAAAAACAAGTTACAAATTGCTTTAGCAAGTGTAACGACAATAATACCCAAGAGACAATAATACAAAAAACAATACAAGATAAAAGCAAGAAAACATTGAAAAGACTAAAATACAGATAAATATAAAATTAGTATAATAGAATAAAATAAAAGGGATAAAATAAAGTCAAATAAGATCGGGAAAAGCTCTCCTATAAAAGTATGTTTTAAGAAGGGACTTAAAAGAGTTCACTGACTCAGCCGACCTGATTTCCTCGGGCAGGCTGTTCCAGAGCCTCGGGGCCCTGACAGCAAACGCTCTGTCCCCTTTAGTTTTCAGTCGAGACTCTGGAACAGACAACAGACCTCTGCCCGAGGATCTCAAGGTACGTGCTGGTGCGTATGGGACTAAAAGGTCAGAAATATAACAAGGCGAGAGGCCATGAAGAGCTTTAAAAGTGATCAATAGAATTTTAAAGTCAATTCTAAAACACACTGGGAGCCAGTGTAATGAAGCTAAAATAGGAGTAATGTGGTCATATTTCTTTGTTCTGGTTAAAAGCCTGGCAGCTGAGTTCTGGACAGTCTGGAGTCGATCAATAGA